AGCGCGGAGCCGCGCTTCCCTGCAGGAGGTCAGCGGGGAGCTGGGAGCCAAACCTCGGTGCAGAGAGGGGTGGGGTGGTGTCCGGGAGGTGTTCGGGACGGCAGAAGCTGAGGAAGGCTGGGACCGGGGTGTCTGCACACAGGGCACCGCTCGGGAAGCAATCCCTGCCTGCAGGCCACGCTGCCGGACCGGCGGAGAAACGGGTCACGCCGAAGGGTTTTGACGTTTCTGGCTGGTTTCTGGGCGAGCCTGGCGGGAGCTGTGTGTTCACCCTCCGCGGGGGGCTGATGCTGTCATCTTAAAAGTAATCTGGCAGGTAGCTCGGTGTCATTGGGCTGGGGTGTCTCTTCCTGCCGCCGTGGTGTCTGGAGAGGGGTTTCGCTGCTGGTGCCGAGCGTTCAGAATTGTTCCACGGTGCTTGAGGTGTAACCAGAAGCACCGGGGAGAAATTAAGAGGGGAGAGGAAAATAGGCTGGCTTTCCTAACGACCGCGAGGTTACAAACGGGCTCCGGAGGCAGCTGACGGGAGCCCCGTGTTGGAGGGCGCGTAGAAGCAGCCTGCGGGCTGGGCCGGCTGGGATCTAAGAGACTTTTCCCGTCTCTGGGATATTTCTGCCATCCCAGGATTAAGCAAAGAGCCGGCCCCTCTCCCGGTGCAGGAGGGGCACCGGGGCCTGGCCTTCTTCAGAAACCTCTTGTTATTAGTGCAAAGGACGTTCACAAATTGCATCGTGCTGAGATGGAGGTTTTTTTAAATTGGGCTAGTTCTGAGGACTTTTTTTTTTTTTCTTTTCTTTTTTTCCTTGAGAGTTGCCAGGTGGGGAAAAGTCCTTATTTCAGAAGGGAGGAGGGCACCGAGCAGCGCTGAAGGCACTCTGCTCTAATTTTAGTGCGCTTCTGTCTCTGATTCCCAAGTTGATGATCACACCTGAAAGCTGGGAAGAAAGTCTGGAGACGGAGACGTGCTCTCTGCGCCCGAGGGTCCAAAGCGTGGAGGTTTGTCCCCGGTCCGAGTCCTCGCCGCGCTGCCTGACCCCGACCCCCCTCCGGAGAGGGGACAAACGCCGTGCTTCGGGCTGGGGCTCTGCTCCGAGGGGGATCGGTGAGGGGTTGCCCTTCCTCGTGGAGATGGAGGGCGGCTGTTAGTGGGGGAGCTTGGAGGCGGCCGGCGTCGCTCCCTGTCGCGCGGGGACGAGCCGAAGCCGTGTCCTTGGAAGCAGCCCCTTTCTCCCAGGAACGTGTTTTCGCCCAGGCCGTGACGTGGGGTTTTGTCGGTCCGGCTGCGCAGCCTTTTTGCGGTGCTTTTCAAAGTCAGAAGGACTCTGGGAACAAACGACACGCAGAACCATTTTCTAGCCGAAGGTTAATTACGGGCCGGCGTTACTGCAGAGGTATAGGCTCATGCGAGCTAGGTGCTTTTTTTAATTTGCAATTTTTTAAATTGCAGTTCCTGCTTGCGAGGCCTTACACTCAGCCAAAATTAAGGAGAATAACTGCTGGCACGTGGCTCGGGGCTCCTGAAACTCTCCCAGTGTTTTTCTCTGGGTCCTCATTTTAAAATACAAAGGAGCGAGGAATCAATCTCTTTTACTGCACATCATCCCGTTAACGTTAACGAGACCGCGTGCGTGAGTAGGAAGTACGAGTTACGGAACTGGCTCCTCAACTCAATTGTATTTGGCTGATTATTAGCTGATTACTTTGAGGGAAACTAATTCCTCGTTCTCACTCCTCGCTGTCTGCCGCCTGTGGTTTAGGGAGGACACTGGGATCCTGCTTGTCCCTGGCCTCAGCCACGGGCCCGGGGGTGTGACGGGTCCCTGGAGGCGGCGAGGGGTTTGGGAGGGGGCGACGCCGGCAGCTTTCCATGCCCTGTGTTCACCCGCGGTGCCCGTCGGAAAGTCACGTGGCATTTTTTGGGTTTGTTTTTTTTTTTTTTTTTAATTTTGTATTTTCAAGGGCTTCTGCAGAGGTCAGGAGAGAAAGGGCTTTCTAAATAAAATTGATTCTTATTAGGGCGTTGCCGTGCCCTTTGTGCAAAGCAGACAGATCTCTGAGCGGGCGGGCGTAACACAGAAAAGCAAAATTACGGGTTCAACAAAAATAAAGCTGCAGGATGCATTTTAAACCACAGTTCCTGTGTAACCCGGCACTCGAGAGAGAGATTTCAACCTAAATTATTTTCACCTCGTGAAGTTAACGGCCGTTGCGGGGTCGAAGGGGAACTCTGAAGCGCTCGGCTTTTCCTTCGCCGCCCGGGCTGGGAGACTGCCGGCAGGGCAGAGGTACGGCCCCGGGATGTCCTCCTCCCTCTGGGTGACACAGATGGCAGGGAAGGGAATAGCGCGGGTGTTACGGCACTAGCCCATGCGCTTCCTTATTCCGTGCGGCCCCTACAACTGACCTAAATTCACACGGTGCCTGCGGCAGCCCGGGATACGAGGCGCCTTTTACTTGCGGGTTTGGAGCAGGTCTGGGAGTCTGCGTCCCGCTGCCGGCTGGGAGATCGGAGCCGGTGTCTCCATCCCCCCGGCC